GCCCCCATCCCTGGTGCCCTGCTCATCTCTCTCATCTCTCCCCCTCCTGGCGCCCTGCTCATCTCTCATTTTTGCCCCTCTGCGTTGCATTTTGGGTGCTGTTACTGCGTTCTTCACGTTTGCTGATTTTTTTTCTTTCACCACATGTGATCCCACCCACCGTGTTCGTCAGATATTCTTTCTCTACAAATTCAGTTTGAGTCTTTTTTACATCTCTCTCTCTACTTAATATGCTCAGTCTTTCCTCACCTTTTTAAACATAAGTGACACAGTTAAGACAGCGGCTTTAATGTCCTGTCTCCTAAGAAAATCACAGGCTATTTCTGGTGCTGGCTTTTCTCATTATGGTTCAAGTTCTGCCACCTTCCCAGCCAGGAGGTCTCATGTGGCTGCCAGATGTCATGGATGTTACCTCAAGCTTAGCTCTGGGACCCAGTTGAGTTACTTGGAAACAGCTGGGTACTTTTACACTTTAAAGCTTGGTTAGGTAGGAATGAGGGAGTACCTGTGGGGGCTGGTGCCCTCCTGACACACTGCCCAGGGCTTTAGTACACACTCTACATGGGGCTGGGAGGGCCACTGTCCTGCATGAGCTCTTGGGATTGTTCTCTTGAATCCAGTGGCTCACAACAGGTGACAGTTGGCCCCAGGAGACATTTTTGGTTTTCACAAGTAGGGTGCTAGTAGCATCTGGGGTGGGTAGAGGCCAGCGGTGTTGCTAAATATCCTACAACACACAGGACGGCTCCCTCCACAAGTGGTGCAGCCTGAGCCAGCACTGCCTTCCCACCCTGATGAGGTTGCTCCCACACTGAGCACTCCCCTCGGCCTTCCCGGACCCCCAGCTCCACCTCTTCACCACCCAGGCCACATGGCTCCCAGGCTCTGTCCTCGTGCCGGGGTCTGCAAACTGTCCAGGTCGCCATGGGGCAGCTGTGGGGCTCATGGAGATGGCCCCCCGATCTCAGGGCACTGTCCTGCACAGCCTGTGGTCACTGCTTGCAGCCATCATTTCCCCTGTTGCGTGTGAGCAGCTTGGACTTGGCCACACCCCAGAGCTGCTGTCTCCTGGATGTGATGTGTCCACCTGTTCCTGTGCTCCCACTGACTCGCTGGTGGTTTTCCAGCTTTTGAACATGTCCAACTACAAGGAGAAGTTTTCAACACTGCTCTGGCTGGAGGAGGTTCATGCGGAAATGGAGCTGAAAGAGTATAACATGAGCGGGGTCACCTTGAAAAGAAGTGGGGAGTTCCTGGTGCTGGAGGTCCCTGGATTGGCCGAGAGCCGGCCTTCTCTGTATGCAGGTGTGTGTGGACCAGTTGGGGAGGAGTGACTTTAACTGGGGACACTGTGTCACCCTGGCTCATTTTCTTGGTTTGGGTCACTTAAAACGTGGCCAGCAGCCCAGGACCTGTCCCTGTCATTCTGACGTATGTTTAAGCAGTTGGTATGTGCTGTGTTGCCATGGTTCACACGGGGTCATGTGTTTCTCACCAGGTGATAAACTGGTTTTGAAAACGCAGGAGTACAACGGACATGTTGTCGAGTACATTGGCTACGTGGTGAAGGTGAGAGGCCCCTGGGCAGGAGGGGGACTTCCTGATGGCTGGGGTCTCCCTGGGCAGTGACCATGTTTTGGAAAATTTGAGGATAAAGTGACTATGTAAGTCTGATGTATAAAGGGAATGTGTTATCTATAGAAACCCTATCACTTTCAACCACCTTACACAGATGCATGCAAGTCAGGGCGTTTACATCTGGACAGATTGGGGCATTCTCAGTCTGTTCTGGAAGAAAGAGCCTCAGAGCAAAGACACCAAGTGGGCGCCAGCTCTGATGCTGCCATGAAGAGGTGTCAGTATGCCAGACGCTCTGGGGTCCTTCAACAGGTCCCACTGCTCCCACTCTGGGCAGGGCATGGACATCAGTGATGGGCAAGACGAGCCCACAACCCACCCAGGGTAGGAAACTGAAAACAGCCAGGCCTGGCTGCAGGGGTCCAGCTGTGAGGACTTGAGAGTCAGGGGTTCCCAGGAGAGGCCACACTGCACCTTGATTCCGTTTGCTGCATTCTGCACCTAAATACGGGCTGCATTGTCACCCAGCTCAGCTCGGCATGTGACCTTTCCCTAAAAGACACAGAGCGCACGTCCCCAGGTGTGAGGAAGGTGCAGGTGTGCTAGGCAGTGGGCAGTTCCCCACTGGAGACAGTGTTGAGTGAGATGAGCAGGTGGCATGTGAGGGAGCCACGGTGTGGAAGGTCACTTCCGAAGGCCTGTGGGATGTGAGCGTGTCCGGCTGCAGGCTCATTTCTGAGAGGGGAGCGACTCGCATTCCCTCCTTCCTGCTGCTTATCTCCAGAAGCGTGGTCTTTGTTTCCGAGTGGTTTGCTTGCTTCATTAAAGCTGCCCTGTCGTCTGTATGGTCTGAGGCTCACTTACTTTGTCTTCCCGTTTTTAACTTCCTATCTGGTGTTTTGTGTTTCCCTAAGTGGCGGTGCCAGTACCTGATGTCCTGGGGCCTGAATCCGTTGCTGGCCGTGCTGGCCTCCCTCTGGGGGACGTGCTCCCGTGTCTTGGCCATCTCTGATCACACATCCACTTTCCTCCTCTCAGCCCGGGACCCTGGGCCTGCGCAGGGCCTGCCTCCCTCTAGGGCCTCTCAGATCCACTGCCCGGATCCGGCCAGCACCCCAGTCGAGCGTCCTCCCGCTGTCCCCGCGCTTCCTCGGAAACGCCTTTCCTCCGCGCTGGTCCCAGACTTGTTTTCCGCAGGATCTCACTTTGGCTAGAGGGGCCCAGAATATCCAGTTCCTCGGCCCACAGGGGGTGGTCCCAGGACGGCCTGGCGTCGCCCTGTGCAGACGCGGGAGCGGGGAGCGTGCGCGGGGCGGGCACCTCCCAACTGCTGAGAAATTCACCCTTTTGATGGCTGGTCCGCCCAGATGGGTGGCTGAGCGTCCGCGCCACAGACAAAGACGACGGTCCCAGGGAGTCAGGTCTGAAGTGTGGGAACTACGATGTTTGTTTCCTCTGCAGATTCTCGAAGAAGATGTGACGCTGAAGCTGAACCCGGAATTTGAACAAGCGTATAACTTCGAGCCTATGGATGTGGAGTTTACCTACAACAGGTAACGCCGCCGGCGCGCC